TGATGACAGTTTAAACTGTGCCTCATTATAAAGGGAGGATTTACTCAAACAGAAGAAAACTGAGAGGAATTCATTGTATCTCCTTATATTACCATTTATCTTCTTTTGTTGGCTAAGAACTGATTCAGGATTGTACTCTTGGTCCAAATTATTTAAGAATCAAAAGAGAAAAATTCCTTCCCTAGACTAAGAGCTGTACTAAAGCTAAAAATTTGATGATAGATGCTTATTATAATCACTTTCTAACAGCTTGCTCAGCAATTAAAATCAATCATGCTGTTTAATTCCTCTTAATTTGGATACTTTTGATATGTGTTTCATAAAAAACTCTTCCTTCCAAACTTGATTAGCTGTCTTTAATAATCCCCATTACTTTTAAATCCTTCAACACACAATTTTGCTATTTCCTTCTCTCACATCTATTTTTATTTCAGTGGAATCACTGGTCTTAAGATGTGGAGTACATGTTCTGCTCTCCTCTTTTAATCCATCTCTGTTCACATTCTAGTCACGTGCCTTGGACTACCAAATCTGTATAAATGTCAATTAAACCACTTTATGTTCATGCATGAGAACGTTTCATTCTGTTTGCACAATTCTTGTTATTTTAGCTTTGATGCTGAGACACTACTGAAATTCTGAGCTGTTGCATGCAATTCTTTTCCCAATGCTCTGATAGTGCATAGCCTATTAATTGCAATTCTTCTTTTTCCTATGAGCCTAATAAATCCTGTAACACTAAAGTCTGGGTTCTTCATTGTGGCATTCAATTATACCTTTCAAACTGAAGTGTGAATTTAATGCTCAGTCACTGGAGTCTGACAACTGGGCAAAACAATTGGAAGGGCTGAAGGTAGAAAGTATCTCCTCCTCTAAGAACATCCTCTCCCTTATTCTGCAGTGATGTGGACCTTGGGGAGAGCGATCTCGCGCCTGCAAGTCCTGCCTCCTACAAAGCTTGACTCACATGAATACAATAATTTGGGGATTCATGTCTTCGTGTTGATAAAATAAAATGTGAATCTACTCCATGCAACAGGCTAGATTCAAAACAATACTACTTTCAGAAGCAAGGATTGTATTGCCATGTCAGTATATTAAAAAAAAAAAAAAGCAAAACAAAACTTCTAAGCCAGAAAGGAAACAGCTGAAGATGAAGCATACGAAATGTAAACTATTAAGTAAGACTTCACATCAAAAATATCCTCTTTTCTCTTTTTCTGACCTTTTCTCATCCAGGTCTGATAATCTTTCATGTGGTATTAAAGACAGC